GTTCTGTTCCCTTCATTGATTAAGATTTGTAATTTTTAAAAATTTCCTGGTTCATGTTACAGAATAAAATTATATTTTTGGAACAAAATTAACCTTTATTAGTTCCCAACATGTGCAGTCTGATGCTGAGCAAGTCTGACACTCACCAATTTCCTGTTACTTCACTTTGCCACAGAACCCATAACATCATTCACAGACATTATTAATAGGTGCATTGACAATGTTATAGTCCTACATACGCAGCACTCACTACAAGATTCATACCGGGCTGCAAATGAACAGGGCCAGGTAGAGCCCACTGCAGCAACACACGCTACTCTGGCACACTATTAAAATGGTCTTTCAAAGCCTCCCTGAGCCATATAGCTTCATGTTGAGCTCTTCTAATAGCCCTTGTATCTGGCTGTTCACATTCAGCAGACAGCCACTCCACCTCCACCCCGGGGGAAACGTTTCCCCCCTAGCTTCACAGATATTATGCAGAACACAGCAGACAGCTATAACCATTGGGATATTTTTCTCACTGAAGTCCAAACTTGTAAGTAAACAACGTCAGCAACATGGGCGGTCTGTAACCCAGCTGTTGGGGGAGGCTAGCCCCTTGCCCCTCCTGTTCTGCCCACCCTTCCCTTTTGCCCCTCTCCCCCGCAGTAGCCCAGAGCACCCCCACCGTGACCCCGGCAGCCGGGCAGTAGTGGTCAGCTTTGGTGTGCTGGGCGGCCAGCCGAGGAGCTCCGGGCAGTTGCGCCCTCAGCCCCGGCGCTCTGGGAGGCTGGGCAGTGTGGCCGCAGCGCCCCCAGCCCCAGTGCTCCAGGCAGCCGGGCCATCCCCAGTGCCAGTGCTCCAAGCGGCGTGGCCCCAGCATCAGCTGCCTTAAGTCCCTGCGGGAGCAGGAGGCAGGCCAGCCAGCCTGGGCCAGCCAGCCCCAGTGAGCCTGGGCCAGCCAGGGGAGAGCACTGGGAACCACCGGACGTGGCCACGCTAGGCTGTCTGAGGAGGCACAGCCTCCCCCTGCCTATGATACCTACGGCCCCTGGGCAGCAACCCTTCAAACACTCAAAGGCACATTTGACTGTCATTCTGCACCTGCTGGGCCTGTAGTTGAATTGTTCCTTGGTGCTGTCGAAGTGGCCGGTGTACGGCTTCATGAACCAGGGGAGCAAGCGATAGGCTGGCTCTCCCATGATCACTATTAGCATTTCAACATTCCCAAAGGTAATTCACCGACCAGGAAAGAATGTCCCTCCTTGCAGGTTCCTGAACAGCCTTGTGTCTTAAAGATGTGAGCCTCATGCCTGACCAGCTCACATCGATGTCAGTAAAGCGCACTGCACTCTGCATTGACGCAAACGCTCCTGGTGAGGACGTGCACCACCGACACCAGGAGTCTAGCGTGTACATGCACCAGCGATGTAATAACTGCAGCAGCTGGATGCTGATGTGACTTAGGTCGACGTCCATGTGTAGTGCAGACACGGCCTCTGTCTGTCCGTCATCGCCAGCAATAAGATATATCCAGGAGCACTCATAGCAAATCTGCTGTGGGCTCCCCGGGCAGACTAGGGGCTTGTCTATGCTTAAAACACGACAGCAGCACAGCCGCGGTGCTGCAGCGCTTCAGTGTATGGTTCCTATGCCAATGCGGTTCCTATGCCGATGGGCGGGGGTCTCCTGTCACCATACACAATCCCTTGTCCGGCAACATAGCACTGTCCACACAGGGACTTAGGACAGCTTCACTACGCCATGCAGGGCGGTGGCTTTTTCATACCCCTGACTGACGTGGTTAAACCAATGCAATTTTCTAGCGTAGACCGAGCCTAGAATGCAGCTCGTTCTTCCAAATCTAACACGCTTGTTTGTGACAGCGGCCTAAGCAGATTGGTTTGGGACGTAGGCTGCTTTGGCAGTCAAACCCAGAGTCCTTTTCACAGAAAAGCATTTCGATAACTCCATGACTGGACCTTAGAAATACACCAGGTACAGAGCACACCGAACCCCCAACTAAATCAGACAGGACTTGATGCAGGAATCCCTGGGTGAACTTCTGTGGCCTGGGTAATGCAGGAGGTCAGACCAGATCCTAACCGTGCTTGGAATCAATCTATCATTCAGGGAGCATCTCTAGGACTACTACAGTTAAGGTTCCCCAAGGGATCTCATTCAAACCCTGTTTTCAGTTGCTTGTAACTTTCCAAAACATTCTCCTTTCTGGTTGATATTTCTGGGGCTTGGTCTCTTTTTCCATAAAGGTGTTTGGAAAGTTCGAGCAAATCCAGTTCAGAGAACAAACAGGGACGGTGCACACTCACCGTGTTACAAACAGGAGACTTCAATAAAAAAGTTTGACACCCAGCTGGGAGTAGAAAGCTGAACTCGACAGCCTATGCAGAGAAACACTTTGGAGCCTTTGATGAAAGCTGGGCTCAATTTGACCCAGGTAGGGGCCAAAAGTCACTGTACTTCTTGTGTGCAGTGCACATGGGTAGAGTGTTTAACCCTTTCCAGGGCGGTGGGTGGTAAGGACAGGCTATGCCGTGCACACAAGTTATGCTCAGTAAGGAAGCAACTTGGCTACCCAGCCCTTCCCTTACCCCCTGTATTTTGGGTCCTCCTGCCCAGACAAGGAGAACATCCCCAACTACCTTTAGACCAGATGTTTAAAACGCCAAGGACCCACTGTCCCGTTTCAGGGCACAACCCATCCACACGGACAGCCCAGGGGCAGGGAGGCGCTGTCCCTGGGGATCCATTATCCCACCACTGGCGCCCTCCCGGGTTTTTGCCTTTAGGCTGAAGCCCCTGGGGCTGGCCCCGCTCAGAGCCATGAGACTAGAGGGCGCCCAGGCTGGCCCAGAGCTGCCGTGTCCAGGGATGGCTCCTCCAGGCACAAACCCCTCTCCCCACAGCAGCGGGGCCAGGCGGACCTGCCCAGGGTGCCGGGGTCCCTCCGCGGCTGGCTCGGAGCCTGGGGAAGCGCCCCCAGTTGCCCCGGGGAGAGGCTGCGCTCACGGCCAGGGGCTGGAAACTTGTGAGATGGGTCGGTTCTGCCCGGGCGGATTGCGGGGCTCCTGGTGGGGAGCGGTGACCCCAGCACGGAGCGGGGCGGCGCCCGGAGCCAGCCCGTGCCGGGGGGCAGAAGCGCCGGGCGCTGCACCGAGACACCCCCGGAGGCGCGGAGCCCCCCGATCTGGGGGCCAGGGGCTGAGCCCCGCCTCGCACCTGCTCCTCTCCCCCTCCGCCGCCCGGGACTGCTCCGGTCCCTGCCCCGGGGCAGAGTCCGGGCTCCCAGCCGCGCGCGGACTCCACACCCCGGGCTCTCCCCGCTGCGCCCCCGTGCCCGGCCCGGCTCACTCACCCAGCAGCGCGGCCAGCCCCAGGGCCAGCGGCAGCGGCTCCATCCCGCCGGCTCCCAGCACAGGCGGCTGCGGCGCCGCGCTCATCCCGCAGCAGAGCGGAGCAGGTGCCGGAGCGCAGCCCCGGGCGGGAGGAGGAGGAGTCGGGGGAGGGGCCCGTTGCCCAGGTGGGGCGGCTCCAGCAGGTGGGGGGAAGGGTGGGGGCGGAGCAAGCCGATCAGGTGGGAGGGGCGGCTCCCCCGGCGCGGGAGGGGTTGGTCCTGTGTCCCGGGAGAGCCGATAGCAGGGGGGAAAGCGCTGATCCCGGCGCTGGAGGGGCTCCCCCTCTGGCACTGCCCGGGAGCCGGAGCCTGCTCGGTCATCTCCTGGGCTGGTTTTGCCCCGTGGGGCTGGTGGCTGCCACACCCCCCCCCCCCGCCCCCCTATCTGAGAGGAAGCCCCGGGCTAGGACTCAGATCGAGCCGGGCTCTATTCCTCTGTATGACCCTGGGCCAGTCCCTGGCTCCCACCCTCAGTAGGTCCAGCTGCAAAATGCAGAGAACAACTTTCCATCCCCCACTTCCTGGGAGGGGGGGGGAGGCTCTTCAGGGCAGGGGGTCTCAGTGTGGGTGCAGGGCCTGGCACACTGACTCCCTGCTCAGCCCAAAGCACCACTGGCCCCAATAATGTACCTGCTGCAGGATGCTGGCTGGGAGGTAACCCCCTCGCCCCCAGCCACACTGCCTCAGGGGCTTGGCTCCCCCATCCTGGCTGATAGCGGCTCTTCTAGGGAAAGCCTGCCCCAAAGAATGCAAACCCAGGGGCTGGGGCTGGCAGGCCTTCACTTACTTACAGGGTGTGTGTGTGAAACATAACTCCCCTCCCCCCACCACAACTGTCCCTTCTCTTTCACCCACATCAGCTCCCCCTATCCTTTTGCCATCCCAAAGCGTCAAGCCTCTCCCTGTCCCTATCTGGAGAAGAGCAATTCACTCACCCAAATAGCTGGCCTAGGCCCTGGTCCTGCCACGAACCTCTTGTGAGATCTCATCGTAGGATCAGAGGCAATAGTCAGTAGCCTTCAGGTGCTGGCAGCTCAAGGGTTCTTGAGCCTGCTGCCATTGTACCAGGCAGTGGGACCTCAGCTGGAATAGCGTGCACAGGTCTGGTCATCCGTGTTCAAGAAAGAGGAATCCGACCTGGAACAGGTGCAAAGAAGGGCTGCGAGGATGCGCTAGGGAACAGAGATCACGTTGTGAAGGGGTGTTTCATGGAAGATGGGATCCTGGTTCCAGTGAAGCCAGCCAGCTCTGCAACAGACTGAACGTTGGGGCAAAACCTCTGTTTTAAGTTAGGAAAGGGAACTGTTAATAAGCCTCCATCCTAGTTCACATTTTAGGATTTTGTTTTGTAGTGTAGCCATTTGTTCCCATCACACACTCTTGTTTCTACTGGAATCTCTGTCCTTCCTTAACTAACCCTTCATTTGTTTCAGTACCAGTGCTGTGTGTTATACAGGAGCACTCTGGAGGCAGGGGGGTAACAAGATGACTTTCATCCTGGGCAAACAAGCTTAAAACTAGCTAGTTTTAAGATGGAGCTTGGTAAATTTAGGAAGAGAACGATGTGACGGGGCTGGACTTGAGGAGCCAGGAGGTCCATTCCAGGCCTATGTTCCTGAGGGGGAGGCTTACACAAAGGGCCCCAACCTTTGCCCATCCCACCCGGAGTTGCTGTGCATGTGATTTCTCCTTAGTGACTGACACATAGTGTACGTAGCTCCCAGGTGTGAGCAGCTCTCTTCACACCAGCCTCGCATTCCCACCTCATTTGCAGACCCGCTGCCTGGAGCTGTGTTCTCAGTCTGGCAAGTTTTACTCTAATTAAAAAAAAAAACACCAAACCACCCTGAGTAAACTTAACAGCACAGAGAAGGGGACACAGCTAAACAGAGCCAGCCAGAACCAAGCTTCGTGCTTCTGCAATGCCTCCGCGCAGGACCTACGAGCACCTCAGTCTGGCACAGCTTCCCTTAACAATGACCTACCCAGCACACAGGCATCTGCCTAGCTCATAAACACCACAACTTTAGCATGAAAAAGCAGATCAAGTCCCTGATCCCTAGTGGAGACGTTACACATTCTGCATCTACGCAACTCCTTCAGCTGCAGCCAAAGCAGAAACATGCCTTGATCCAGAAGTTACAATTCAGTGATCTCAACTGCATGCAGTGTAGTTGTAGCCATGTTGGTCCCAGGATATTAGAAAGACAAGGTGGATGAGGTAATATATTTTACTGAACCCACTTCTGTTGGGGAGAGACAAGTTTTCAAACTCCACAGAGCTCTTCTTCAGGGCTGGGACAGGTACTCCAAACTGCAAGGTGGAACAGTTGGTCTTGACTGCAGAGGTATTAACAGGCCCCTCTGCCTTGAATGATCCCTTACAATATGTGCTAACTACTTATGCTAAATAATCTGTTCCACCCTGAAGCAGAGCTCTGTGTAGTTCTAAAGCGTGTCTCTCTCACCAACAGAAGTTGGTCCAATAAAAGATGTTACCTCCCCCACCTTGTCTCCCTAATGAGCTGAACTGGTATGTCCACATACCTCTCCCCGCTATCCTTTCAGGCTGCCTCACTCCAGCAGTGATTACACTCAATCACACCAGTTACTCTATAGCCACACGAGGATTAGAAGTGGTACTTTTTAAAAATATGAAATGGTAGATTCTATGGCAAGTTCCAGGCTGTGGCATCAAGGAATATGGGAGCTCCAGGTACAGGCAGGCTTCTTCTCCCACCCCCAGTGCATTTTTCTTTATTTCACCAGCACTGGTGAGGAGTGCAGCATGACCCCGCTCGTCTCCCTGGGGTGCTCCTTCCCAGGTGGTCTCCTTTGGGGCCCAATCCTGCACTTGGAGTCACACAGGCACACTCCACTGATTTCAGTCAGACTCCATACAGGCACAAAGGCTTGCAAGGGTGGATTCAATACCAGGAGCGGGGCCTATCTTCCTGTCTTTGCACGAGCTGCACAGACTGGACTCAGCGGGCAGAGCGTTGCAGTCAGTGGTTCATTTTGCCATGTGAGATGGAGCAGGGGTTATGGTGACAAGCACGTTCTTCCACCATGCTTCCCCCTCTCAGCAATAGTCAGCAGCTTCATTGGCAGGAAATCCATCTGCTGGCTCTTCCCAGCAACTGACACAGAATCCAGAGTCCTGAAGCCACTTGTGTCACCCGCCCCTCTAAGGACCCCTCTGACTCTGATGGGGAAGGGAGGGGTGACCTCTATCCCTTCCACCTCAGGCCTTTGGCTCCCCCAGCCCTGGCCTGATGGCAACTCAGCACTCTTCTGTCCAGGGTCCTTGACTGAGACCTTGTCCACACAGGGGGCTTAGCTCAGGGGTGGGCAAACTTTTTGGCCCGAGGGCCACCTTGGGGTTGCAAAATTGTAGGGAGGGCTGGGTTGGAAAGGCTGTGCCCCGCCCGCTATCCGACCCCTCCCACTTCCCGCCCCCTGACTGCCCCCCTCAGAACCCGCAGCCCATCCACCCCCCCTGCTTCTTGTCCCCTAACCACCCCCTCCCAGGACCCCCTGCCTCTAACCGCCCCTGGGACTCCACCCCCTATCCAACCCCCCTGCTACCAGTCCCCTGACTGCTCTGACTCCTATCCACACCCCTGCCCCTTGACAGGCCCCCCGGGACCCCACCCCCTATCCAACCCCCCGTTCCCCATCCCCCTGGCCCCTATCCACACCCCCGCCCCCGCCAGGCCCCCCCCCGGGACTCCCATGGTTATCCAATGCCCCCCATCCCCTGACTGCCCCCCAGAACCTCTGCCCCATCCAACTGCCCCCTGCTCCCTGTCCCCTGACTTCCCCCTGGAATCCCAGCCCCTTATCCAACCCCTGGCCCGGGCCCCCTTACTATGCCACTCAGAGCAGCATGTCTGACAGACGCGCCCCCTGCCGGAGCCAGACATGCTGCCGCGGTCCTTGGCAGGAGCGCGCAACCCTGTCACCCAGAACGCTGCCCGCGCGGTGGCATGACTATGGGGGAGGGGCTAGGGGCTAGCCTCCCTGGCCGGGAGCCCAAGGGCTGGGCAGGACGGTCCCACAGGCCGGATGTGGCCCACGGGCCATAGTTTGCCCACGGGCCATAGTTTGCCCACGTCTGGCTTAGCGGGTTGGTGTGCAATACCGTGTACATGGGATAACCCCCTGGAACCCCTGCCCCTTATCCAACCCCCTGGCCCCATTCGTGCCTAGGCCTTTTGCTAGCTGCATGCACAGGTGAATGTCACCTCTATGAAATGGGGCAGGAGCAAAGCTCTTCTCCTACCTGTGACTGCTCATCTCAAGCTAGCAAGTGTGTTCTGGAGGTGGGAGTTCAACCCTGATAGTGATAGGGGAGGGGTCTGGGGGTCCTGCCACCCAGTCATATTTCTTGGCAAAAGATGGCTTGGGGCAGTTGGTATCTGGACAGTGAAGGAGACTCCCAGAGCGGTCAGAGAAATGTGTCCTTTTGCCTCTGGAGCTCGGCTGAGAGCGCCTTCTCTAGTTTAGGCTGAGATGCGTAAATCTACATATGTTAATATAACCCAGGCTTCCACAGGGTGGCACTCTATCCCCCCTCCCATGGCTACACCGCTCAGCCCGAGAGTGGGTGTGAGCCACAGGGCTGGGTCTCCGCTCAGGCAGCAGCAAATCCCACTTGAAGAGCCAAAGGTCCCAGGTTCCATCCCCTGCTGTCTTGGGTCCATTACGCAAATAGTTTCTTTTCTTTTAATTCCATTGTCTGGGTTTGTAATAGCTCTTGTTTTTGTTAAGATTCCTTTTGTCTGGATAACTTTGCATAGATGGCCTGGAGGAGAAGAGAACCCTGCAGCCTTTAGGAGAGGTGCTGAAAGGTAGTGTCTCTTTGGAAGCTACAGTCCCTGGCCTTGTCTACACAGGAGCGTTGTCCGCACTAATTCTAATTAGTGGGTGTGAAAACGCCTGTGTGCACACCATGTAATTCCTTAGAGTGCTGTGTTTATCATGAGTAAGGCTGTGTGTGTGTCACGGAGATGACACATTCTGTGACTTTCTCTGACATCCGTGACTTCTGCAGTGGCCAGTGTGGCTGGCTCAGGGCAGGGGCAGCAACAGCTTGGGTGTGGGAGG